CGCCGCCTCACATTTAGCCACCTCAGAGGCTGCTCCAGGACAAATCGTCAATAAGGAGCAAATGTCACATTCGCTCTCGGCAGAGGCAGGCGAGGAACTCTTTAAAAAAATCACAGCAGGCAGGAAGGCTCCCCAAAGTGATTAGTCAAATGAGAAAATTGGGAATTGGGAAAAGGAAATTACCCCCCCCCACACACACACCCCCCGCCCCCCCACATCCCAATTTCTAAGGAAGATCAGGAGTATTACCTCAACAACCACCAAAACCAACTTTAGAACTGTACCAGTTCTAAGTCACATAAGAAAACCATAATAGGTCCAGTCCGTCAAACTTCTCACCACTCATCCCGATCAGGCTCATTGGCAGCCTGTCCCAGGCAGGAATAAGGCACTAGGCTGGGGATCACCAGTCCATGACCAGGCATATGAGCCCCACACACAATTACACACTATGGCCAGTCGGGAGACACTCGATAATCAGTCTAACTGCACATTTCTGTACACGAAATACGAAGAAAGCACGTAAGCATGCAAGTAACACATAGAAAAGGTGGAGGTGGGATGGAAGAGCCCAAACTCTCGGTGAGCAAGGCAGCAGTGCCACACGCTAAAAGCCATCAGCTTATTCAAGATCTATTAGCTGTAGGCGTTCATCCATCCATCTTCGAACCAACACCTGAAGAACGAGGCTGAGGGACACCCAGGATGGGATGCCAGTCCATCGCAGGTTTGTTCAAAATGCCATTTTCAATTACTCTGCAAACCAGTCACTGCATGCCGTTAAAATTCCACCCCCCCCCCCCCCCCCCCCCATTTCCCTTTGACAAATGCAAACTACTGTAAAGGAGACAGTAAATTTGCTGAAACCATCTGTTGTCCTTGGCAGGAGTGAAAATAACTGGCAGAGATTCAGTGAACATATCACCGTGTCAGGCTGACACGCTGAAAAGAGACCATTAACCATTAAATGGGAAATCGTAAAAAAAAGAAAGACTATGCAGGAGCCCTGCAGTGTGGGAATGAAATATGTACAGTCCTCTCAAAGCAAAAATGAGCTCTGATGCAAAAATGGGAAAACAAACTGAAAAAGTTCCAGAATAAATCTGGTTCTGGCATATATGGGTGATCAGAAAACAGCTGATTGAAAGCCCTTTGAGCTTCATAAATACAGGGAATTTCAAATTCTAGTTTGTGGTGTAGTTCATGGTACAGCAACAAAATCACCTGGTTTTGTGAATTTTAGTTTTGTGAAGAACAGTGAATTGGAAACCTTGGAGACTGACACCATGGAACTCTACCAACCCATAATCAACTAACCTGCCCAAGGTAGGCACCTTTATTATAGGAACAGAAGAAACGTCATTCCTAGGATTTAACATTCAGTCAGCATCAGTGCACGACAGAGATAGCGGAACCTCTGCAGTGCATTTCCCCAGTGCTCTAAATGATACATGATACAATGATTGAGAAAAATACTCCATCATTAGCCTTTCTAACACTCGGAAGCCGCTGTCATCTGAAACAGACAAATGGGTGACGATGACATACTGCTGTCATAAAATGAGTTAATGACAGCTGCTTTGGTTCTGAATAGGGCAGTCCTCGGGCAGGTGCTGACGTCAGATGGCATGTGACAAAGGCTGAAGGCTACGTAGGTATCTGTGAAGGGGTTAACGTGTCCTATAGATCAGGGCATCACAACGGGCAGCGTTTCACACCACCCGAAATAATTGAAATGGCTAAACTAATAAAATCCACCCCCCCATCACCACTAAGGTTTACATATTTTTGCATAATGAATGTCAGTTTGAGGTCATCAGAAGGTTGGGACCCCTATTGCAGCTCATGACTTCTGAGATGATTCCCTAACTCCTGAGGAGCAGACCTGACTATAGGGGCAGTGTCAGTACCTTGGATTTCCTTCTCGTTGCGGAACCACCGGATGTCAGCGGCCGGCTTGCTCCCGGAGGTCACGCACGTCAAGGTGATCTGGTCTCCCTCCTTGGCCGGCTTTGTGAATCCTGCTATTTCCGGCTTCTCCGGAACCCCTGCAGGAATGAGGGTAAAATATCGAGCTGACAAAACCGACCACTGGCCTCGTAAGTGATAATGCCTTTTGATTTTGGTTTTTCACCGTTAATCCATTTATATGGCTTTTAAATAGTGATACTATTGGAAGTCAACAAAAAAAGAGGATGCGATAAAGACAGTCAAAAATGCTGCTGGCTCGCCTTTATCTGACAGTCAGTTATCTTCTCATTTATGAACTTCTCCCCTTACAGTGATGGCATTCTATAGGGTTGCCAGATTGTGTCTTATGAGTTACAGTTTTTGGCTAGATTTTAAAAACCATTAACTCCCCTGCCCATATTCTTCCGCGCCACATGGTACATGCTGTGACTTGCAAACACAACTGTATTCCAGGAATGATTCCTTTATCTTCTTTTTATGCCCGTTGTTTTGCACGGCTCGATTAAAATGGCACAGGTCTAATAATTTAAATCAGACAAGCTATGTTGGGTTCCTAATAATTCAGGGAAAAAGAAAAACAGAGGTGATTATGGTGCTGAAAAGCAAAAGATACAAGGTAAGGCAAGTAAGCTCAGATGTTTTAAGCCTGAGATAATTCAGAGAAAAGTAGGATAATGGCTACCAACATTTTCTGAGGTGAAGCCTAATTAAATGTACTGTGCTGTTTTAATTTCCCAGGATAACCTTTACAAGTTTACTCAGTCTTTAACTTCTCAAACTTTAAACTTTTGGTAAAAACAATGCAAAATTCATGCAAAATAGAATAGAAAAAAAAAAGTTATACAAAAATGTGCTTCCAAACTGTTTAGCTCCTGATGAAACAGATCCCTGTGTGTGTAAGTGCCTGTTCAGTTTTGACAAGCATTGATTTATAACTGCAATACATTCTGATTATATTTTAAAGCTGGTTGGAAGTTTTACTTTCTCAGAAACTTTTGGAGACAAATTGGCTGCACTAAAATAATCGGAGGCTGTAGAACAAAAAACATTGCTTCCGGTGAAGTGTGATCATTTGCGTTGGGTCTGCTGTAGCAACTATGGAAAGTTGCACATAGCACTCTGGACGAGCCCCAGTGCCCCAGTGACTGGTCCCAGTGCCCCAGTGACTGGCGAAGGTGTCGGCGAGTGACAGCTGCATGGTAACACTCACTCAGCACGGTGAGGAAAGCCTTGGCGGTCTTGACGGGCATGGTGAAGAGCGAGCAGGTGTATTGTCCTTCATCTGTCAGTGCCACCTCGCTGATGCGGATGGCCAGCTCCTGCCAGGAGGCACGTACCAGCTCGATCCGGTTGTCCCTCAGGGCTGTGGGGAGAGATGAAGTCAGGCCGCTGTTGTGAGGAACACCGTGGGCCATGTGTGCAAGCAGCTGCCGTCGTCGGCATCAAAGATTCATAAGTGTTACCGCAAAGCCTGGGGTTAGCATAAGAGCCACGCTAGCACTACTCTCGATCCGACCCGTAAACTAATCCCGAGGTTCAATCCGCGGGAACCGGTGTTAATTGAACCGGGCAATGAGCAGATGTAAGAGTCTGCCTTTCCCCGTATGAGCCCTGCGATATATTAATAAAAAATTCATCGTAATTTTATGGTAAATGTCATATTCGTGCTACAATGACAAAATGATGGAAGGCGCGAGGGAATATGGATATGTGGAAATTAATAGCTGATCTTTGGCCCTTGATATTTGATTCGGAGATTAAATTCGGCTTTTCTTACAGTTTTTTGTTATTTTCTTAAGTAGTATAAACGTGCTTATTGACCACAGTTGTGTTTTATATACGCTGTATACACTAAGTGGCCATTTCATTAGGCATACATAGCTAGTACCAGGTAGGACCCACTTTGGCCCCCAGAACTGCTTCAAATACAGGAAATTTGTGCCTTTGGAGAAGCCTTTCTGGACACTTCTGCCCACCTTCTCCACTGAGCTGTTACTATTGTACTATTATCTTTAACAAGGCTGCCCATTCTCTTCTGATCTCTCTCATTGGCAGGTTTTGCAGCCACAGGAATGTCGTCAACTGGATGTTTTTTGTTAGTCGTAGCATGTTCTGCAAAGTCGAGACACTACGGTTAGGAAGGTCCCCGGATGGTGGCTGTTTCTGAGATGCTGGAACGACCACGTCTGGCACCAACAATGACATGACCTTCAAATTCGCTTAGATCGCATGCCTTAGCCATTATAATGCTCAGGCAAACAGTAACTGAACCTCTTGGCCCTGTCAGCTTGCTGTGCATGTGGAGGAGACGGTTGTTTGTGTTAAGACAAAGGGGGACTGAATAAATTTGCCATCCAGCATGTGTGAGCCTTTATTTTCCTTGAGTCCCTTAATGTCTTTATCCCATGACCCTGACCACAATAAGTGGTTAGAATATGGATGGATCAATAGATGGATGGATATGTCTTTGTGATGTGCTGTTCACACTGTCACAATCAGTTGGACATTTTAAACAAGCAAGCTCTCATGCGCCTCCATTTCCATGTGCTGCTATTTATTAATCTAAAAATAGACGCCCCAGCGGATTTCCCGCCGTGGCGTCCACCGCTGAGACCTGGCTCCTTCAGAAAGTCTCGACGTCATCCGATCTTATGGATCAACCAATAGCATTGCTTAGAGGAGGAAAGCCATGGTCCTTTATGCATTCTGAGGCTGAAGTTTAAATTACAGGCATAAGTCTTGAAAGAAAGTGAGGGATCTGAAGACAGAAAGTTAACCTAGTCATACCTAACTCTGTAAACTGACAGGGAGCACTGGCCGGAAGAATGCTGCAGTAATAATAACAATAATCAGGAAGCCAATTTTGACGGCTGTGCAGACGGGAAATGGGCCTGAAATGTGCCTCCTATGGACAGTGCATTTAGAATAATAACCATGCTGCATGCTCCTCTGCCTGTTTCTAAAGGAGACCCAGCCCTGCCTGCCTGAGGCGATATCTTAATGAGACATTTGGTAGAAATTCCCCTGGAAGGTCAGTGGCCTTTATAGAGAAACGTCAGACGAACAATATTAGTATTGAAATACAATAATTAACAATGTTATTTTTTTCTTCATTTTAACTGTCGTATTGATGCTTATTGAAAATAACAAATATGCAGTGTGCATGCCTAATTATCCCTGCAAAATAGATTAATTTCTGACCCAAAGAATGATGTTACAAAAGGCCAATGGTCTCATTAAAACTTTGTCTTCCTTCCTGTGTTTCTTTTTGCAATTTACAACAAATGCTGTTGGATTTGTTTTGCATTTATCACGTGGCAAATGTTTATACACTAACACCGGCACCATTAATAACTATAAATAAAGACCTATAGTGACTACAGAGAAAACAGTTCGTGTGAATTTTACAAATGAAGTATTTCCTCTACTTATTGTACATTTCACAGTAAATACTAAGCCATTATATCTGAAATAAATGCTCTGAAGACAGAATTGAAGAATTCTTCATTATTTTGGATGAAATGAGGTGTTAAATGGCGAGTGTATCAGTTAGAACTGGGTCTATCTGACAAAATGAGCAACGGGGCTTGTTATGAAACAAACAACTAATCGTTCTGTCCGATTAGAGCCATAGATATTATATGGTTCATTCTGAACATTAATATCTAAGCCTTTTTTGTTCATGTCACACAGTATTTCTTAGAGAACAAAGCGACTATGAAATGACTTAGAGGTCTCCATTTCAGGAGGACAATTATATACATGAAATATGTCTCTTTATGTCATGGACCTTACATTTGTCACATACTACAAAAGGCCATTCAGAAAGCAAGAAAGGAACAACGTGACCGACCGGCTGCTGAACTGTACTGACTGGACCCGAACTACATTGGCCCAATCAGCTGGTCTCCTGAGGAACTGAGACAGAGAACCTAAATGAAACACCAGGAAGGTCGTCGTGTCATTATAGACAAATAGGTACAAAAATTAAGGAATCGGTGATGACAAGTAGGGATGGGAAGGTGCACCGATTTGCCTTGGTGGACAGACATAGAAGTGTAATATTTGATTGCCCTGATTAAATAAAATTGTGCATTGGATACAATTTGGGATGACCTCAAGATGCATTAATATATTAATAAATGATTATTAGTAGAGGCCCTATGCCTTTATTATTTAGAAGTGTGACCAATAATTTTATATTAAGATTGATCCCCCCCTCTCTAAACTGTCCGTGTCTGATCCATATTGAATTTCATAGCATCATATTCTTTTGCATCGCATCATATCGGATTGAATCACATTGTGTTGAATCAAATCATGTCGAGTCGAGCTGCATCGCAATAGGGGTGAATCATATCGCATCGCATTAGGAGCTGCTTATTTCTGTCTTTAATGCATTGCATTGTTGGCAATGCATCGATATGTGTATGGTATTGGCCTCAGTGATGGAGATGCAATGAAGCAGAAAAATGAAGTCAGATTAATTGCTCAAAAAAGGAATATATGAAGGAGAATGGACAGGTCCACTGGGGGGAGCCGCCAGGATTGTGTGAGAGCATCACGCTGGTGACTGGATCTGGCAACCGGCCTGGGTGGAGAGAACAGAGGCTAACAAGGGTCCAGGAAAGCAGGCACTTGTTTCTTTGATGGTCCCGATTCTGCTGGTTTAAACCGGCTGGCTCGTACCCGGGCCGTGCTCCCAGCAAGTAGAGACAGACTCCAAGTCCAAAAGCGGTTCAGGTCCTCGATGAGGCCCCACCACTAGTTTGTTATACACACGGGGTCGGGGATCCAGTTGCTCAGATCCCGAACCCTTGTTAGGCGCTTGTTTGTTTTTGAACCTGAGCCATCAACGACAAACCACCGTCTCCTGCCTGACACCCACGGCCACGGCAGTCTCCAGACACCCCAGCTCCGGGCCCCCCGCCTTATTGATTTCCCTCCCTCGTGTCGCTCCGGGGGAGAACACAGCATTGCATACTGGGAAGAGATAAAGAAAAAGGCAGAGTTGGTAAAAGCTGCTACCTCAAACATGGCCGCAGGCATATTGGTCGCTCGGTGACTGCAGACTCGCTCTTCAGAATAAAATATTTCGGTAGTTTCGGCCGGGCTGTTTTTCTGCTAAATGTCGAGGAGAGTGTTCTCTGTACATTTGCCGAGGGGGTGGGGGCAGGGGGGTGGACGGGGGAGGGGCGAGGTACTTCGACACGGAGCTTGAGAAACATGAATGTGGAAAGTCGAAATTAAAGCCTCGTCCTTAAAAATGTGTCAAGGGGCCGCAGCCGTGGGCGGGGTTGGCGGCGCTCGCTGGGACGCTGCCGGCAGCAGCCCCGCCGGGACCGAGCGCCACGCCTCCGTGGCGGCAGGTGACACATGCTTACACGGCGCTCTCTGCTCCGCCGTACGCGCTCATCCTGCTATTCCCAGGGGCTCCCGTCTCCCCAAACACATAGAGGACAGACGGGTAATAATTGCGTTAAGGGATTTCCCACTGATATTATCCTTCGCTTATTTCCTGTAGTACTGTGCTACATTTCTGTGCCTCTCAATTCATCCTTCACAGGCCTGGATGGGAAACCCCCTGCCCTTTCTCCGCCCACCAGCGCTGGATCCACGTAGATGTATGTGGTCTCAGAGGGGAACGTTCCGGATCATGAAGCCAGGCAGACCCTCTCGCTGCCAGGCCACAGTGCGGGAAAGTCCGCCTGTATGCCATCCAGCTGGCACAGTTCTTCCGCCCCCCCCCCCGGCCTTAAACAGCACTACCCTGGCATGCTGCGGGTTTTTTCAAAGGCCTGTCCAGATCGATGACGTTTCCGGCCTGGACTGGCAAGCCTGTAAGCCGTCGCACCTGGTGAACCATGCAGAGGCATCAATAAAATGCAAAACACATTTTCTCACATCATAGAAATTCTCCCACAATTTAATAAAAATTTGGTGAGAGATTAAGTTGCTTATACATGTTCCCCTGTTATTAATGCAGTCCTGATATTAGGAGTCTGTGAGCTAACCTATTTTCTCAGGGAAAAAAGCAGATTTTACCCAATTTCGCTGGTAATTGGCTATACAACACTTCATTTTATGTATGTTTTCCTTCGGTTTTACATTCTGAATGTGCCAGACATTTTTGCGTGAAACAACTTTTGAAAACATCAAAGCGGTCGCCGTTCTCAGCCACAGGAACAAGGTGAAAGCTTTGCTATCTGAGCATTTAATTCATGTAAATACGAAAACCTCCTTGATCTCTTCCTCTTTACATAGAAAAGCGTTTTTAAGCATGGCGCATTCCTTTACAAGAAAATAATTCCTCTTTTTCTCTTAAGAAGCACCCTCTTAGAGAATTAGAAGCTTTTCGTGTAG